CTTTTGCTCATGCTCTCTTGCTCATTCTCTCTCTCAAATACATAAATAAATAAATCTTTAAAAAAGTAAATAAAGACTGCATACCTTTCTCAGCCTTCTTCTCTCGCCCCGTGCCAGTCTACAGAGAGGATGGAGCAGGTGCCCAGTTGGCTGGAGGCAGCCTCACTCCCTGTCCCATGTGGACATGTGGCCACCACCCACCTGTGCATCTCATGCTTCACGCCCCGGGGTCCCCCACTGTTACTAGTGACTTTGGCTACCACTTATGCCATCACTGAGCTGCGTGGTACTCACATTCAGCCCACAGAAGCTCACGAAATCATCCTAAGAGGTGCGGGGGCTTTCCCCGCTTTAGCTCTCGAGCTTGTCCAGCTGAGTAGAGCCATTTGGGCCTAGGCTGGGAGAGCCTGAAGTAGGGGCTGCGGCACTGGTCATCTGGTTTGGCCCTCTCAGTGGCACAGAGGCCAAGCAGATGGGAGTATCCTCACCCAGGAACTCCAACATGCTGCTCTCCATTGCTGAAAGTTAGACTTGCCCATGAATGTCAATGGCTCACAAAGGTGAACAACATCAACTCCCTCTATGGCCAGCCATGCAACGCCATGGATAGCGCTTGGCCTCTGGGCAGAGCCCCCAGCCACGGGGGTAAGGATTAGAAGGGGCAATGAAAGAAAAGGGCCCTCCCTCCCGCCGAGGCCTCCAACTTGCTTCTCTGTACCTCTAATCTTCCCCCACCCCAACCTACCAGTATCCACACTCATTCGTTCACTCCTAGTGAGCACCACTCTGTGCCAGGTACCTAAGTCTGACAACTCGAGGAGGGCTTTATTATTATTCCCATTTTACAGAGAAGAAAACCAAGGCTTAGGGGCCCCAAATGATCCAAGCTTGTGCTATTGGTGGTTCTGTCTGCCTCTGAAGCCTCTTGGAAGCTCATCCCTACAGTGGGGCTCTGACCCCTCCAGCCCTCAGTTATGTTGCTGCCCTAACAGGGGATGAGGAGCTCAAGAGCTTGGAATCTGTTAGAAGATTCCAGAATTCAGGGATGCCCCTGTTCCTCCTCACACTTTCGCTCAGCCCCAGACCCCTCAGAGGCATCCCCCAGCCTCCGTGGAGCTCCCCTCCCAGGCCCAAGAACACTTACCTCCATCTCGGGGTGGGGCAAGGGCACGCACGAGGACTAATTAACAGTCTGCTGAGGGCTTTGAAGATGAAAAGCAGCCTTCAAGTGACAGCCTATTATCCGAAAGCTTCACACACGGAATAATGAAATTCCAGGTTCCAAATGGAGAGTAAAAATCCTTTAACAAGGTGATAAAGGGAGGCAGGTGGGGAGCAGGGCGGAGGGCGAGGGCGTCTACTCTCACCTCCAAGGGCACAGCCCTCCGTGCACCCCAGCAGTCTGAGGCGAAAAGCGTGTGGCCAGGGTCAGCCTCAGGCCCGGAGGCCTCTTCCCTTGCCAACTGCTGCCCCTGCTAGCTACCAGAGACTCTGGAAAAAGAGAGAGCCAGGCCTCCCCTGAGGGGCCTCAGGCCTGGGGAGCCAGGATCCCTGGACCCTGAGGCCAACGGTAGTGTTGAAAGGGGCCACGTTGGGAGTGAGAAGCCCCGGTTTCTGGTCCTGGCTTTACACACTCGGACTCAGTTCCTGACTGTAGGTGGGTCCTGCCCTCTCTGCACTGTGTGCCTTCGCGGGTGACCTGCGTGGTCCCCACCCTGCCCCCACACCAGGATGCCCCTTGAGTTGGGGCCCCGTGTGCCAGCATTATGGAGCCCTGAGCGGGTGCGGGGTTAAGTGATCAACAGCTGCTGTTTAACTGAACAGCTCACTCAAGGGGCCCTTCTCGTGCTGATTTTGTGGCATTCTTGGACTTTAGCCAGTCCAGGTTCCCACAGCTGGGAAGGAACAAACCCCCCCAATGCCTTCCTAGAGTTCCGTGACTGGCAACGCCCTGGGCACCGCTGGAGACTGGAAGAAGCCCCCACCCCCACCCAACCCCAACCTCAGAAGCACGTGCCTAGCCATGTCCCTCACAGAGAGTAGGTTCCCTGAAGACAGCAATCAGTCCCACTCAACTCCGGACACCCCATGTCTGCCACAGGGGCAGAGTCACCTGCAAACATAAACTCTTGCTGTGAGCAATCCAATCACCTACCAGTCATGGGATTGAACTGGCAAGGTTATTAGATTGAAGGGGTTTGGCAAAAGTCTCGTCAAAAATTGAAACTTGATTCCAAGTGCATTATCTGGCATATTACTTAACCTCTCTGAGCCTCGGTTTTCCTTACCTATAAAATAAGGATGGTGATAGGACCTGCCTCTTGAGGTTGTTCTAAGGTTATTGGAGTTAATTCCTGAGAATTAGAGTGTTTCATTATTATTACTCTTATTATTAATCCTTGGTTATCATCAGTTAGATAATTATGAATCTCTTTGCCTCTTTACTGCTACCTGGAATTCCTTTAACCCCTTCACTACACAAGGGAGGGGACAGGGCGAGAGTAGATGCCATTTGGACAGCCATTGTAACTTAAGCCCTAGCGCCCCAACAAGCTTAAAATCCAGAAAGACAGGTACTGTTCTTCCTGTCTACAGATGAGAACACTGAGGCCCAAAAAGCAAAGGGGGTGACACAGTTGGGCAGGGCAGAGCCCAGATCTGAGCTTGGGTTAGAAATCATTTGTGCAGTTGAGAAATTTGCACTGAGCACCAATGGGCCAGGCCCCAGGGATGGGAGAGTGAAGAAGACAGACACATCCCTTGTCCTCCTAGAGCTAATATTCTGGTAGACAGACGACGAGCCAGAAAAAGGTGCGGCGGAAATGAATGAGTGTCACAGCTTGTGAGCAGGGCTCTAAAGAAAATAAAATCCTATGATCAAAACTAAAGAGGAGGTTATTCAGAGAAGACTTCTCTGAGGAGGTCTGGACTGAGCCCCGGGAGACGAAAGGGGAAAGGAAGCCAGCGCTCCTGACTGCCTCACCGCCAATTCTCGCTAAGGTGTGAATGATTAACTGCGGGTCCAAGCCAGGAAGCAAGATTTGTAAGCAGAAGGGCAGAGGGAATCTGAGGGCAGTGTGGAGGCCCCGAGGGAGGACAGGAAGGATGAAAGCAGAGAGGGCTTGGAGCCTTGCAGAGGTAAGGACGTGAGTTGTAACTTTCAAGGGCTTTGCTAAAAACAGAAAGCTGGGCTTGGGGGGCTCGGGGAGAAACCCATTGGTAAGAAGAAAGGATGCATGCCTGAGTCCTCTCTGTCCCAGAGACAGGTGGCAATTTGAGGCTATCAAGGCAGAAAAATGAAAATCATCTGTTCCTGTGAGGAGGGATGCAAGAAGACATCATTCCTAACCAGAGCAGATGAAAAGAGCACTACACAAGTCCCCCAAGAAGGATGACATCACGCTTTTGCTTCTCACAGCTGTCACGAGGGAGCTGGCCCCATGCACCTCCCCACATCCTTAAGGACACCCTACTAGGTGCCCCACACTCTTCTCAGGTCTGAGGAGAAACAAGAGAAATAAGCCTGTAACAGCAGGTGTGGCCAGGCCCCAGGGAAGCAGAGAAGGCCTCGCTGAGGAAGCCCCATTTGCACTGAGATCTGAGGTATCAAAAGGGAGGGAAGGGTGTTCCTGGTGAAAGGAACAGTATGCGTGCTGGTGTGCCACTGAATTTGTAATAACTGGCGATGGTGGGGGGAGGGAGCAGCCATTTGCCAGTGTTTGCCCATCTCCGTGGTGTAAATACTCTTGCCATGCACGATGTCACTGAACATGGGCAATCGAGAGACAGGGAGCTGGCTCTAGCCCATCACTGGTGTGTGAGGCTTGAGGCAGGTGGGCAGCCACTTGGCTGGTCGAAGGAACAGGAGCCAGCCAGGGGCACCCGAGCAGGTTGCTGGCCTTGGAGGGGGTGTGGGCTTTAGCTAGCAAGTGGTCTGTGTAGACTGTGACCACATGTCTCTGTTCCACCTTCCTGCCCCCCTCAAAGCTCTGTCAGGTTACATGCTAGGCCCAGAGTTCCTGGTGTTAAGTAACGAGGAAAGAATTAATTAATCAGATCTTCAAAGAAATAGTTTTGGGCTTTTTAACTGGTCAAAGGGGAATAGGTGTAGGGTACTGAAGGGGCTTAGTCGGTAAAGCACCTGACTCTTGATTTCAGCGCGGGTCCCGATCTCAGGGGTGTGGGATCGAGCCCCATGTCAGGCCCCACACTCAGCTTGGAGTTGGCTTGGGATTCTCTCTCCCTCTCTCTCTCTCAAAGTAAATAAAATCTTTTAAAAAAGAAAAGAAAAGGGGGAGAAGGTGCTCTGTGACCATGGATGGGATGCCCCTGGAAGCACCTGTCTCCCTTTCAATGGTAAGCCTGAGATCACATACAAGCTGTTGGTTCACTAGCCGGGCAGCCAAGCTAGGAGTGTGTGTGTGTGTGTGTGTGTGTGCGTGTGCATGTGCGTGTGTGTCGGGAAGTGGGGGTAGTTGAAAGGTAAGGTACAGACGCGACCTGTGCCCCTCCAAAGTCTTGGTCCCAAGGGCTCTTGAACTATGGGACCTCTCTCCATCCCATTTAAGAGCAAGACAGAGGAGGACCAGGGGATGACAGGCAGGTAGAGAGCCACTCCAGCCCCAGCACCCTGGAGGATCAGCCACTCATGGGAAGGAGGAAGAGGAGGCTTGGAAAGGGCAGAAATGAGCAGAGGGGCCTTGAGCAGGGGAGAGGACGGGGGGACCTCACTTCCCGCCCCACCCCTCATTCCGGACCTGACACCCTGCATCTAGGCTACCCTAATCTTCTCAGTCTGAACCTAGCCTAAAATTCCTCTGTGCTCTGCCTATTCATCCCTTCCTCCCCCTGGCAAGCACTGATCTTGTTACTGTCTCCATAGTTCTGCCTTTTCCAGAATGTCTTATAGTTAGAATCATACAGTATGTAGCCTTTTCAGATTGGCTTCTTCACTTACTAATATGCATTTAAGGTTTTTCCATGTCTTTTCCTGTCTTGATAGCTCATTTCTTTTTAGCACTGAAAAATATTCCATTGTCTAGATGCACCACCGCTTCTTTATCCATTTACCTACTAAAGGATATCTTGCCAAGTTTTGGCAATTATGAATAAAGCTGCTATAAACATCCGTGTGCAGGTTTTGTGTGGACATAAGTTTCCAGCTACTTTGGGTAAATACCAAGGAGTACAATTGCTAAATTATATGGTGAGAGTATGTTTAGTTTTCCAAACTAAACTGTTTTCCAAAGTGACTGTATCATTTTGCATTCCCTGCCGGCAACGAATGAAGGTTCCCCTGGCCCCACATCCTTGCCAGCATCTGGTATCGTCAGTGTTCTGGATTTTGGCCACTCTAGGTGTGTGGTGGTATCTCGTCGTCGTTTTAATTTGCATCGCCTTGATGACACAGGATGTAGAACAACTCTTTATATGCTTACTTGCCATCTGTAAGTGGTGAGATGTCTGTTCAAATCTTTTGCCCATTTTAATGGGGTTGTTTGTTTTCTTATTGTTGTATATTCTTTGTATATTTTGGATCGCAATCCTTTATCAGACAGGTCTTTGGCAAATATTTTTTTCCAATCGCTGGCTTGTCTTCTCATTCTCTTGGGGAGTTAATTTTTTCATTGTTAGAGCAATGACTTACTGTATATCCGGCGTATTGATAATGAAGATCAAAACAGGAGACCACGATTCTTAATTCTCGTCCTTTAAGGAGGATAACACTGCTAGTGACAGCCATTCCCACCTTTGGAACACTTGCTGTGTTCTGGGTGCTCAGCAATGGTCTCAGGTCATGTATGTAGCCTTTTTAGCCTTCTTTCACTAGGTAATAGGCATTTAAGCTTCCTCCATGTCTTTTCATGGCTTCATAGCTCATGTCTTTTTATCCCTAAATACTATTCCATTGTATGGCTATATCACAGTTTGTTTATCCACTCACCCACTGAAGGACATCGTAGTTCCAAGTTTTGGCAATTATGAAAAATGCTGCGATAAACATCCGGGCGCAGGTTTTTGTGCGGATGTAGGTTTTCAGCTCATTTGGATCTTTGTCAAGGAGAATGACTGCTAGATCCTCACGGTGCTCTTTTGCATGAGGTCCCTGACCCTCTTGCACTCCCCGACTGAAGAACTTAGGGGAAGCAAAGAACATACCTGGTATTTCTCTGTCTCACGTAATAGGTCCTCAATAAATATCTGTTGAAACAAAAAACACAAGTAGACAACCATGTATCTCAGATTTTCCTGGACACTTTAAGTCCCGTATCATTTTATTCTTTGTAACCAAGATAAATTATTATAAACACAACCAAATGGAGATTGGAAAGGCCTGCTTAAGGCTTTCCATGCTAAAACATTTCACGAGTCAGTCTTTTTAAAAGTCCTTTGCCAGACGCTGACTCCAGCTTTGGGACCCCTGTCGGCAACTGCCAGAGGTATGGTGAGAGGGACACCCACTGGGCATCGGGCGTGTCCTCTCTGACCTCGGCCTCACCTCTTTCCCACACGGGGCTTGGTGTTCCCTTATGAAACAGACCCAGGGCAGGAACTACCTGATCTCTGGGTTGCTTCAAGCTGGGCTGTTCTAGAATTCCCCATCATATAAGCCACCCACCCCCAACCCCTGGGCGGGACTGGAGCTGAGAAGGCAGCTGTGGGGGTGAAGGCCACGTCTCTGAAGGCCACGTCTCTGTCACCCATCCACAGAAAGGATCCTCAGGCCCCAGCAACAGATAGGAGAAGGGTAGGAGCACCTTCCTCTCTTTCACTGGGTATGTCTCTTTGTACCTTTTATCATTCTAAACCATTTTAACATATTAAACACAAGAGCTTCACTGAACACTTACCACCTGCCAGGCAATAGGTTAGTGTTCTCACCAGATTGATTTAGATCTGACATAGCCCAGTGATAGAAGCATTGTTATCCACATTTCTAGATTCAGTCCAATCCACAAATATATACTGAGTGCATTCCACAGGCAGACGCAAGGCACTGTTTCAGGGCTATGGTGGTAAGCATGGGAACCAGAGTCCCTGGCCTCATGGAGCTGACCTTCTAGAACAGGAGGCAGACAGTAAGCAATCAGCACAAGTGAGCTTTACGATTTGTTAGAAGGTGACCGAGCCACATAGAAAAAGCAGAGCAGGGCAGGGGGTTGGGAGCCGTAGGGCACAGAGCGGGGCGGACTATGCTCTTAGATAGGATAGGCAGGGTGGGCCCAATTGAGAAGGTGGGGTTCTTAGCAACAATTTGACAGAGGAGAGAGGGGTAGCCCAGTGGATTTCTGGGAACAGCAGGAGGGAGTGTGTCTGGTAGAAGAGTGGGTGAGTAGAGTGAGCGGGGCAGAGAGGCAAGAGGACTGCTCATGGAGGGTCTGGGGGGCTGGGGGGGGTGGCCTGTAAGGACTCGGGCCTTTCACAGGAAGAAATGAGCAGCAGAGTGACACGAAGAGTTCATTATGGAAAGGGGAAAGACAGAGGCCCACTGCTGGGGCTGCTACAGGCAACCAGCAGAGACATGAATAGAGGCTGGGACCTGCTGATGACAGCGGAGGGGGTGACAAGAGGTGGGATTTGGGATCTATTTGCAAGGGGGAGCCATCATGAATCTCTGAGCAAACTGTGGTTCACGCGAAAGATCCGGGGTGAAAGCCCTTCCCCAGCCCCAAGCTCAGGGACAGCCCTGAGGGTGGCCCACGAGCAGTGGGAGATTCCAGGTCTGCTCCTTCCCCAGGTAGGATGGTGATACTGGGGTCACCCCAGAAGCGGAAAGTATCCCCTACACCTCCCTTTCCCCGGCCTGCTTGGGCCCCAATCCAAGTTCTTCTCCCATTACCACGAATGGCACAATGATGGCGCTTCTCACTGCCTGCCCCAGAAGCTGACCTCCCAGTCACCTGGTCCAGCATTCCAGTTAAAGAGGAAGTGGGCAGAACTGGAACTCTTACCCTCTCATCCCCATACTCTACCAGGAGCCGACGCAGGCATGGGGGTGGGGACAGAGAGCCACAGAAACAGGGTCCTCTCGGCCTTACTGAAAGCCATTAGACATCTCCACATTTGTGCAAAATCTCTGCTGCAATTAGTCCAGCATTTAATGAGCTCCTACTGTGTGCCCATCCACTGAGCTAGATGTTGTTTGCATATAGGATTATGAAGCCAGCCTCTGGTGGGAAAAGCCCTGGCGTGAACAGCCCTGGGGTTTGACTAGGAAGATCAGGGTAGCCGAATCCTGTTCTGCACTTCTTAGCTACCTGACCACTGGCACCCCAGGAAACATTCCAGGCCTCCACGCATCAACTCTAAAATGGGGTCAGTGGAAGGTACCCAAGAGAGCTGTAAGGGAGCACGAACGCAAAAAGGCCTTGATAAACCCTGCACAAAGGTCAGGGCTGAGAGGGATAGACCCACACATGCCCAGCTAATCATAGGGCAGGACACTCTGGGGTGAGGGCATCAGACACAATAAGGATGTCACGGTAGCAGGGGTGGGGGCGGGGGGGCTGCTGAGTCATTCTGACCTAGCTGGGGGACAGTGAGGGCTTCCCAGAAGAAAGGGCCTTGGAAAGTGGGTGGGATTCCATTAGCTCAAACAGAGAAGAAAGGGCATGCCAGGTAATGGGACCGCGTGGGCAAAGGCCAGGGGTGCGGAAGTACCTGCCTCGGGCTGCGCAGAGCTAAGGCAGGGTATTGAGCAGGGCAGTGGCAGAACCTGATTTGTCTTCGAGGTCACCCTGGCTCCCAGAGAGGACTGGAGTGGAATTGCCCTGGCCCAGCTGAGCAATACCCAGTGGCTTGAGGCTTGAGCCAGCTGCACTCTCCAGAAGAGAGGGGAAGACGCGCCCCCCCCCCCCCCCCAGTCCAGTCCGGATCTGGCGGGGAAAGGCAGATGTAGTGGGATGTGTGTGTGCAGGGGGTGCGGCGGGGAGCCTGGGCCAGGCTGAGCCAGCTGGCTGCCCGTGCCCCTCCCCCCAGCCCCGCTCCTCCCAGCCCACCCCCACCCCCACCCCCTGGTAGCCCAGAGACCTGTTTGTTTTCCTTGTAAAGAGGGGAGCCCTGCCCTTTGTGAGATTTCTGCTGGGGAAGGAGCGAAATGCCTGCTTGTACTGCTGCCTGGATTTCCAGCTATTGACACAGACCCTGACAATGAAAGCAAAGGCCAAGAGAGGCCGAGACAAGGCGGCTGATGAAAATGTTCTTTCCGGGGTGGCTCAGCCCTGCCCGGCGAAGGCTAGCTGGAAAACCCGGGAAGGAGCCCTCTCCGCCGCCGGAGCTGCAGGCCCAGATAGAGGAGGTGCTTTGCAAAAGGTTGGGGAGGTTCTGCACGCCTTCCCCCTCCAGCTCATCCCGCACCTAAACCCACTGCTGCTGTTGTTCAATCCTCCCTTAATAACCAGGGCCACTGACGTGACTGTGACTTCTTGGAGGCTCAGTTTTACTTCTAAAACAGGACAATGGCAGTACTCCCTTCATGGGGTCAGACTCCCCGAAGAAGAGACTCTGAGATGGAGCCTGGTTACAAGATAAGATATAGGACACCCAGTTAAACTTGAATTTTAGATAAACATTGAAGGATTTTTTTTTTTCTTTAGTAAAATTATGTCCCATATAATATTTGGGACATACTTCTACTAAAAAAATTATTTATTGTTTAACCAAAATTCAAATTTAAATGGGTATTCTACATGTTTACTTGCTAAATCTGACAACTCTAAAGGGGAGAATGTTTCAGGGCCAGGGTCTCACAAAGGTCTCAGCTGACCCGGGGTGGGGGGGTGGGGGGGGTGGGGGGGTGGGGGGAGTGGAGGGCACTCTGGAGCTGGCCTGGCCTTTCAGAGCGGCCCCAAACTGAGGCCAGGTAGGGCTCTGGGCCTTTATACTCCCACTTCCCACCTATCACTGGATTCCGACTTTCCTGGAGGGGGTGTGACTCTTTGCGGGCCAGGTGGCTCTGCTCTGCTGAGGGCAGTTCCAGAGGGGGACTCAGCTCAGTGCAGGACATTCGATACGCCCTGCGGTGGGGGCCCCTGAGCTCTAGTCCCGAGGGGGCATCCGGGCAACAACCCACCACAGCAACCATGACCTTTTCGTTACCCAGTTGCATGAGACAACGGTGTAAACAGCTTAGCCTGAGCCTGACACCTAGTAGTCAGTGACTTCGGCATCCTCTGAATGGAGGCCGGGTCCCTGAGCCTGGCCTTCAAGCCCATTAACCAACCATTCCTGTCCAAATTCTCTGCTCCGTCCATCTCCCTCCGCTCCTTTTAGGGAGCATCTTCCCAAATCAGGTCTGTTGATTTAGCATCAGGGCGGGAGTGGGGGGCACGTTCGCAGTCCCCCTTGTGTGTCTGATGGCCAAATCTGCTCCTGCCCTGAATTCTGCAGATGTCAACCCATGGCATTCGCCTCCAATCTCCCTTTCCAAGGATTCCAAGGGCTGTAATCAGACCGCTGACCTCCAGCATTCAGGCCCCTGGGGCTCCAGCCGCCCTTCTTTCCCTGCCTCCCACTAATGTGAGACATATTTCAGTTCCAGGAGCGGAGAATCTGGCCCTAGGAAGAAAAGCATCTAAGCTTAGATGTCGATAAAGAAGTTGGGGGATCTGAACACATGGGAGACAGAGCGGTGCACGTACCCTCATTCATTGAGAATCACTAGCAGTCCGGGAAAGCATGCTACCAACCCGTGTGATCCTGCTTGATTTCCACAACCTCCGTGCAGGGAGGCACGACTCATAGCCCCATTTTACAGATGAGGAAACGGAAGCTTAGCAAAGACAAGTGTCTGGCCCAAGGTCCCACAGCAAAAAAACCAAAAAACCAAAAACAAAAAAACACCAAAAAACCCCAGGAGAATCAGGACGCTAACCCAGCTCTGTCTACCACCAACAGCACTTGAGTTCTGAATAGTAGAGTATGCTCTAGAGAGTAGGTTGCACAGATTCACCTGTTTGTGGTCAGGCTGGATGGCCATGAGTCATTGGATTTTCAGTCCCCATTCTCATGCGACAGGTCAACAGCAAGGAAAGGCAAAACAATCCCAAAAGCCCAAGCCAGCCTGAGATTGGCACAGCTGGGGAAGTTTGCAGGAAGAAGCAGGAGCCCCTCAAGCTCTGTGACACAGACAATATTCATTGGAAGGAATTAGCATGAGAGACAGGGTTGGAAGGGCCAGGGGAGAGGGTTGGGGGCTGACCCGTAGGAGCCATGCCTACAAGTCCCCAGAATTCACTTGCCAGAAGGGCTGCCTCTGTTTTTTTTTTAATTGTGGTAAAAATCATATAATGAGGGCGCCTGGGTGGCTCAGTCAGTTAAGCGACTGCCTTCGGCTCAGGTCATGATCCTGGAGTCCCGGGATCGAGTCCCACGTCGGGCTCCCTGCTCAGCTAGGAGCCTGCTTCTCCCTCTGACCCTCCTCCCTCTCGTGCTCTCTGTCTCTCATTCTCTCTCACAAATAAATAAATAAAATCTTAAAAAAAAGAAAGAAGGAAATCCTGGCACACACTCTACGATATGGAGGAAACTGGAGGACATTATGCGAAGTGAATGAGCCACCCAGGCGCCCCGATTTCCTTCTTTCTTAAACCTGAGTAATATTCCATTGTATGTATAGTCCTCCTTTTCTTTTTGTTTTTTTAAGATTTATTTATTTATTTTAGAGAGAGGGCGCATATGTGTGTGTGGTGGGGAGGAGCAGAGGGAGAGGGAGAGAGAAACTCAAGCAGACTCCATGCCCAGCATGGAGCCCGACCTGGGGCTCGATCCCACAATCCTGAGATCATGACCTGAACCGAAACCAAGATTTGGATGCCTAACCGACTGAGCCACCCAGGTGTCCCAAGACCACATTTTCTTTATCCATTTATCCACAAATAGATATTTGGGTTGCCCCTACCTCTTGGCTATTGTGAATAATGCTGCCGTGAACATGGGTGTGCAAATATCTCTTTGAGATCCCGCTTTCAATGTTTATTGGTATATATCCAGAAATGGGATTGCTGGATCATATGGTATTCTATTTTTAATTTCTATTTTTAATTTTTCGAGCAACCTCCATACCATTTTCCAGAGTGGCTTCACCATTTTGCACTCTCACCAACAGTGCACAAGGGTTCAACTTTTTCCACATCATCACCAAAGCTTCCTTCCTTCCTTTTTTTTTTTTTTTTTATAATGGCCATCCTAATGGGGTTGAGGTGATATCTTATTGTGGTTTTGATTTCCATTTCTTTAATGATTAATGATATTGAGCATCTTTTTATAGTCATTTGTATATCTTCTTTCGAGAAGTTATCTATTCAAGTCCTTTGCCCACTTTTTAATCCAGTTATTTGTTTTTTTTGTTGTTGAGTTGCAGGAGTTCTTTATATAGGCTGGATATTATCCATTTATCAAATGTGTGTGTTTTTTTTTAAAGATTTTATTTATTTATGAGAGAGAGAGAGAGCAGGGGGAGGAACAGAGGGAGAGGGACTAGCAGACTCTGTGCTGAGCGCCGAACCCGACATGGGGCTTGATCCCAGGAGCCTGAGATCATGCCCTGAGCCAAAACCAAGAGTTGGACGTTTAACCGACTGCGCCACCCAGGCGCCCCCAGACTTAGGATTTGCAAATGTTTTCTACCATTCCATAGGTTGCCTTTTTCACTCTGTTGATTGTTTCCTTTGAAGCGCAGGAGTTTTTAAGTTTGATATGATCCCATTTGTCTATTTTTGTTTTTATTGCCTGTACTTTTGGTATCATATCCAATAAATCATTGCCAGATCCAATGCCATAAAGCTTTTTCCTTCCGTTTTCTTCTAGGAGTCTTGGGGAGAGGGCTGTCTCTCTGGCACAGTTAGGAAGACGGGGAAATGACTAATATCAAGAATACCTGCTGTCATCAAGATTCAGAGCTTAGAAAGCTGCACCACCTGCCCTCCCTGCTCCGACCACTACAGTTTACCCTTGACATTTATGGAGCTAGTGACTAGACATTGGAACTTGGGTGCAGAGAAACTCACCATCTCTGTAGACATGTCACCAGTGAGAAATAACTGGGGTAGCCAGAGACGGTCTCTGCCATACGTCTGCTCGCCAGCCTTGCTTGGAAGCATCTAATTGTGGAACCGTATTTTTGTTCAGGGTCCTAGCAGCAAAGGAGTCTAAAAGGGTGATGTTGAGCTGTCGGCCTCTGCACTGAAGGCAGATGCCCAGTAAGGAGGTTGGAATGGATGATGAGGACCGGGGGTGGGGGGGGAGAAGGGGGGCAAGGTAATAAATTAGATGATGTATCAGGAAGCGCCAGGCTCCCGCTTAGCAGAGAGCAGAGATTTATTATATCCTGCGACCTCCCAGGCATGAAGACATGGTGGGCTGATGAGGCAGGCTGGTGTTGGGTAGGGTGGTGGCATGGCTGTGAGCGCCGACTCTGCAGCTGGACAGGGCTGGTGTGGAATCCCACTTCTACCACGCATGAGCTGTGTGACTTGAGCAGGTCACTGCATTTTTCTGGATCTCCTTTTTTTTCTTTTCCCCTCCTCTGTAAAAGGAGTGGGAGGGAGGTGGCCCAGAATAATTTGCAGCTCTTTCCTGGGCTGCTGGGCCATCTCTCACTCAGGTCAGCAAGACCTGAGTTTAAGTCTTCCTCCTCCGCCAACCTGTTCTGGGAAGTGCATGTGGCCCTGGGCCTCTCGCTTCCCTTCACCCCCCCCCACCCCCACCCCAAGCAACATCTCACAAGAGCCAATGGGATGCTGGCTCAGAGCTGCAGGGCTCCCTGAGTGTGAAGATGGCACAAGGCCTTCTGCTCTCCGGCATCATCAGGCCCCTCCAGGCCTCCCCTTTGAGCAGAAGAAAATTTTGTAATCATAGCTGGGAATGGATGGATGGATGTTACGTAGTTCAGTAATTCTGAGGCTTCTTTTTTGGCCCAAGAAACTCCCCCTTTTGTTCCCCCAAACAAAATATTCTGTAGAACTTAACCCATAAAACAGATAAAAAAATTGGAGCCGGTCTGAGTAAAGTAGCAGAAGGGATCCCTGTGGCCCTATGGAAACAGCGAATTCCAATGCCAAAAAGCTGAATTCTGTCCCAGACTCACCATTATCAGCTTGCCAGTGGTGGTGGGCAAAACCACTTCACTCTCTGGTCCTCAGTTCCTTCATCTATCGAATGGGGATAGTTTCCCTGCTCTCTCTGCTGTCTCTTGCCTGTAAGTCCACAGATAGGAAAATACTTTAAGCTGAAAACACAGAAGTAAGGGTGTGTTGGTTTTGTTTATAACTTACTTCGTTCTTTGAATTTTTTGCAGTAGGGGTTAGTAGTGACAGAATAAGTTGGACTTCCAGGCTTTCAAAACGAGTCTTTCTTGTAATTCTACTCCAACCTCAACATCTGAAATGGTCTATCTTCTTGATTTCATCCCTTCTTACTATGGAAGCCCCCTCCCTCTTACCCTACCCACCCCCCACCCCATCTTTTTATGTTCCCAGAATTCCAGGGTCTACCTGCAGCCTGGACCTCCAGAGTTTCCAATTCCCCCTTCCCCCGGTCCTCTCTTCCCTGCCCCAGCCCACACTTCTCTGTTTGCCTCAGTCTCCCTCCGGCAGAAACCCCCTTCCAGAAAGGGCACTCCCAAAGAAGCCAAAACATAAGCCATTTCTGAGCCACCGCTCCCCCCCATAACCTAATGCAGCTTCTCCTTCCGCCTTGATGTCTTACAGAGCTGGGACTGTTTTCTTTCTTTTCTTTTCTTTTCTGTAAAGATTTTATTTATTTATTTGTCAGAGAGAGAGAGCACAAGCGGGGGGGAGTAACAGGTAGAGTGAGAAGCAGGCTCCCCGCTGAGCAGGGAGTCCTCCGATGCAGGGCTCGATGGATCCCAGGACCCCGGGATCATGACCTGAGCTGAAGGCAGACGCTTAACCGACTGAGCCACCCAGGCGTCCCAGGGTCTGTTTTCCAGTATAACACAAACACTCAGCGGGCCCAGGCTTGTTGTCCCAGCTTGTAGAAGCTACCAGGGGATCCCAGGACCTTGTCTAGAGCCAGCCCCTCATAGAGAAACTCTATTTGAGCGACTACATAATTACAAATGCGTAGGGCTACCTTTAAAATGGCTTAAACCCGACACCATAGGATCCCAGAGCTGCTTGGTTTTAATGACTTTAACGTAGAGAGAGCACTGAGAACAGAGAAGACCCTGATAAAAGGGTTGGAAAGGGAGGGGCCAAGCTCCACAGCCTCTCCCTCCCTTCCTGCACACTCGAGATGTTCCTTCTTGTATCTTAGTTTGTTCATCTGCAAATGGGGACATAGGGACCCACCGTACTTGTTCAGATTACAGGATGTAGACAGTGTTGTCTGCGATCCTCAACCTCAGTACCAGGGACATCTGGGACCAGATAATTCTTTGCTGTCAAGCTGTTGTGTGCACTGTAGGATGTTTAGGGGTGCCCCTGGCCTACACCCACTAGATGTCAGGAGCACCCTTACCCTGAGTTGTGACAGCCAAAAATGTCTCCAGATAGTGTCCAATGTCCCCTTGGGGGCAAAAATGCTCCCAGTTGAGAACCACTGGTATAAGTGAACACAACAGATAAACAAATTCTTCACAATTACCGCATGTATGTGACCAACACACATTTATAAATTCATCCACTGAAAGGACATAAAGCTGAGAGCAGATTTGGAAGTGAAAATCAAAGCTGCCAGGCAAAATGCCTCTCTCCTCTCCACTCCCCCCACCTCCCCCCACCCCCACCCCCACCAGCAAAGACCAGGTGTGCTTGGTGAGAGTCCTACCTTAATCATCCTGGCTGACCCCGAGCACTCCCCTCCACCGGCCTGGGTCATTCTTGCAGCGTGGGCCTCACCCCTCTGAAGTTGGAGCCATTAATACCAGCAAAATATTTCTTAATCTCCTAAGCCTCAGCTTTGAATCCTTAAAAAGGAAAGAAAGAAACAGCACAAATCTCTTAATTAGGACGCCCAATCACTTTGATAAATATTTACCTGGTTCCAGCACGAGGTTGGAAACCCCATGCCGTTAGTCAATAGAGGTCAGCAAAGTGCACCCTGGGAGCCGTGTGATGCAGTCCAGCCTGGCTTTGGATGGAGGCTTGGAGGATGCCTCTTTTAGCGACAGGTGAATAAGCACATTCCCTGCCTACTCTGCACACCTGCCCCGACAAAGTCCCGGGTTGAGATGGAGGGCTCATCATAAATAACTGCCTGGCTTCCTCAACTTTCTGGAGAGAGGTGGCGGTCTCCTCTGCCAGTTGGGCCACCAAGCCAACCAAACCATCCCCCGCATTCTCAAGAGTGTCCTGGCTAAGCACCTTTGCCCCTATCTGGAACTCTCTCCCTTCTCCACTTAGCCACACTAGGGGCCATACTCTACAGGTAGCTTCCCTGATTGTCAACTCCGTCCTTGTACCCAATACTGCTTCCCTACGTAGACTCTATTTAGCTCTTAGGCCCTATACACAGTCTTGAAGTAAGTAGGAGCTGTCTGACCTTGAGTACGTCCCAGAGGTAAGGGCTCCCCTTAGATTATGGTACCTCCGAAGGGGTCTTGCATAGAGTAGGCTTTCTGTCAATTTTTGCCAGGTAAGCAATCAGATGCCACTATTCCATTCCCATTTTACAGATGTGGAAACTGAGACCCTGAGAGTTTTAGGGTCTTGCCCAGGATCATGCAGATCCTCAAGGCCTCCTGATACACAGGCTAGAGCCTTCAGAGACAGATGCCATTGGAAGCAGGGACGAGGGCAGAGGTGTTTGGGAAGCAGGCTCTTAGCTCCCTTCCTTAGGGAGCAAAGACACCTTGTCAGATAGCAAAACACAGAAAGGATCCATGGAAGCAGAAAGCACCCTGGTGCAGGCTGAGGGGGAGGGGAAGGTTTCTTTTAGAACTCTTTGCTCATCCTGTTCCCTTCTACCCATTGGAACTTCTGTCCATCCTTCTGGACTGAGTTCAAGCTCCACCCTTCCCAGAAGTCCTCTGAGAACCCCCCCCCCCCCCACAACTCCTGTTCTCCCACAGAACCAGACTGCACAGTTATACGCAGATACTTCATTGCTGTGGCTTGTCTTCTCAGAAATGCTAAGAACTCCACTGCTGTTGTAGTCAGATTTCTCTGCCTGCATTTCCACCACCCCACACACATCCCCCCCAAGGAGTGGCTTTGAATCACTCCCCTGTCCTCCCCCCCACAGACACACCCCTCAGGGAGCCTTGGACAGTAGGGATCTCCAAAGTCAACTGAGGGCCAAGATAAAGAGTGGGAGTTCCAGAGAAGGAGGGGACCACCCAATGATGTCAGGAGGGCATTGGGGGAGCTCAGGGGAAGGGAACTGGGTGTTCTCACTTGGGCGTGGTTACTGCTTGGTTTACTCCCCCCAAGAGCCCTGACACTAGACCCTACTGTCTCTGTAGGCACCCAGAAAATGCACAAGGACTCGAATCCCTCCATGGTCCTACATCATCATCGTGGCCACCATAGCTAACTGTTATTGATCACCTCATGTGCCAGGTTCTGTACTAAGTACATCGCGTGCATTATCTCCATCGATCCTCAAAACAATCCTCTGCGGTAGACAGGATTGTACTCTCCACTTTACAGATGAGGAAATGGAGGCTTAGCAAGATTAAATAAGTCCCCACAGTCACATAACTTGGACCTGCCAGAGAATTGGAAGAGGGGTTGGGAGACCCTGGGAAATCTCCCGACCTCTCAGAGCTCAGTCCCCTTCCCTGAAATGAAGTGGCTCCCAGATGTGCTCTAGAGGGCTCCCTCTGGGACTTCCTGGGGCCCTCTAGTTTCCTGTGGTGTGTCCTGAAGCCTGATCTGCATTCCCAGGAAAGCTAAGCTCCTAGAGCGAGTGGCAGGTGGTGGTGAAGACTCTGGAACTGAATTGCCTAGGTTCAAGTCTGGCAGCCTCTGAAGTGACCTTGGGCAAGTCACTGTACCACAGTGTGTCAATTGCCCCCCTGTAAGATAGGAGTAACCCTGATAGCACCCACTTCATTCACTAGGAAAGGACTGAGTGTGTTAATATTTGTCAAGTGCTTAGAACAGTGTCTGGCACGGAGTAAGCACTATGTAAGAGTTTGTTAAATAAATAAAAATTCTCTTTTCTCTTGCTCTATGGCCAGGTGCTTGCTTGCGGGAGAAGGCCTGGGATGAATAGTGGGGGGGCTCTCAGGGGGAAGGACCTAAGGGGGGGATGGGCAGGATTGCCTTAGCAAAAGGCCAATAATCAGAGGAGCCTTACAGAATCAACCAAAGGGAGATGGGTGAAAGAGATTTCTCTTCCCTCTGGGCAGTCCAAAGGAGAGGTCTTAAAAAAAAAAAAAAAAAAAAATCAAAGTCAGTGGAGGCAGTAGAAGGGATGACAGGGAGAGGTTCAAAACTCCACCCAAGGCACTGGGATCAGGTCCTCAAATAGGAGGCCACAGCCTGGTGGCTGACCTGAGCCAGACCCTTTAATTTCTGAGAAAGGGAGAAAACATATATTAAAACCCTCTCTGAAGCGTTTGACAATTTTTTGAAAGAACCAGAGCAGAAGCTCTTGGAACTGGTAAACAGCTGCCCACCAACCACCCTGCACCCCAAATGAGGGGCTGGGGAGACTCGGTTCGGCAAATCCACGCCGGACTTTCTGTCTCACCCGGGTGACTTTTTTTTTTTTTTTTTTTTTTTTTTTTAGTGTGCCAGGAATTCCTCTCCCACGTGGGGTGGACTCCGAGGTACTCAATTAAGCAGCCAATGAAAAGTCAGCTCTCCGGTAGCAAATGACCCTGACACTTCTTGTAACATAAACAGTTGAAACGTTTCCAATTAGAACTGGAGACAGAGACGTTTGAACTCTTTCTCTCCACTCCCCTCCTTCTTTAAAAATAATTGTCAAGCGCTTTGGACATGGTGTTGTATACATGTTTTTTTGTTTTCTTTTCCCTTTCTTGAGCATAAAAGAAATGTATATTTCTCCTTGTTTTTTTTTTCTAACTTGTGGGGTGTCGCGCGGGTAGGGGTAGAGCGGTGGCAAGCCTAAGGGGGTGCTGGCCTCGTTACTTACCTCCCGCCCCACTTCCTGTTCTGGGCTCCGGAGAGCTGGGAGTGATGCTGGGGTGCGCAGCGAGTAGGATTCCGGAGGCGGGCGAGCGGGCCCTGTGACCCTACAGCCTGACCCTCAGAAAGGGCTGCTAATGAATGAAAGAGTGAATGAATAGGAATGAATCAAGGCCTTTCCTTTAGCAAATGCTTGCACGGATCCTCCTCCCGCAAGCAAAGGAGGCGCTGAGGTTGGTTCCTGAGCTGGCTGCCCTGGATTCGAATCTTGAGACTTCTGCCCAGCTTGGGGCAAATTCGGAGGTTTCTCAGCCTCTCTTTTTTACTCTATAAAACGGGGTTACCATGCAGGCCGCTTCCCTAGGGCGTGAGGTGAGGACGAAGAGAGTGCTCGCTTGGGTAACAGCGTCCTGCCTCGTGCATAGTAAGCGCTCTGGTGCGCTAATAGTTCTTGACTGCGTGGCGGGCCCTCCAGCGGCGCCCAGCAGAGGAGGCGGCGCTCGGCAAACCCAAGTCCATCTATGCAGCCGCGCACTCCTCCAAGGTGCCGCGCCCCGCGCAGGCGCCCGGGCTCACAGGTGAACTGGACCGGAGTCCGCCCTGTGGGAGTGTCCAGGCTCGTGCGGTCCCCAGGATCGCGGGGGGCAAGAGCCGTGCCTGAACCGGCGACAGAGCTGCTGGGCTCTTCTGTCCGCAATCCGAGTAGACCTGACCCGGGGGCCAGGACTAGTCGGCCGACTACGGGCGGACGCCGTCGGAGCCAGTTCGGAATGAGATCGAGAAAGGGAGGCCGGACGAGGCGCATCTTGAAGGCATTGTGTTTAATAAATCCAGGCGAGACGCACACCCGCTACTCCCCCCCCCCCCCCCGCTCCTCCTGGCTCCCAAATCGAGACCTGCTGTGGGATCCCCAGTTTATGGGGTCTTAAAACCCCCTCCACTTTGATTAGCAGCTTCAAAGGGCTCCCTTTAAAGTTTGCCCCCTCCCTGCCCCCACCTTCCCTTTTACAGGCCACCCCTCCCCCATCTCTCCTTCTAGACTTCTGGACGGCAACAACAAAACACGACGCAAGTTTGGGGAGGGGAGGAGAGGGGAGGGAGAAATCTTCAGATTTCCTCCTAAACGTGGGCCGTAGAAATTACCTGTTTCAGGCGTGCGCAGGAGTCAGAGAACCGTGGAGTTTAGGGGTTTTTTTCTTTCTTTTTCCTTTTTCTTTCTTTCTTTCTTTTTTTCTTTTTTGGTTTGTGTGTGTGTTTTTTACCTTCTATTATTTAAATTGATACGTTTCATTACTAGGGAGAAAAATAAAATATTCCTTTGATACACAAAATCAAATTGATATTTAGCCTCTGCTTACTTTTTTATGCATGGCTCCTTTATACCACATGGTAGTGACAGATTGTTTGAGCTGGAAGGAAAAGCCATTCAAAGCTAATTAAGCAGCCATTCCAAGCACTATTTGCAAGCGGGAGGCTCAGAAGCCTCGGCATTTGTCAGCGCTCCCCCACCCCTCGTGGTTTTGACTGACAGCTCTGGCCGCGGACTGACAGCTCCCTGCAGTTCCACCAATCAGGAACGGAGAGCCCCCTCAGCGGTCTCTGATTGGTCTTCCGGGCCTTGCTCGGGGGCGGGGTCGACGGCTCCCACGTGGGGGGCAGGAGCGAGAAAGGGGCGGGGCGGGTAGGAAGCGGGTGCGCCCACCCGTGACGTAAGGGGGAGGGCAGAGAAGGGGGAGGGGAAAAGGAAGCTCCAAAGAGGAGCCATTTTGTGTCTAATGAATGCTGCGGCCAGATGCTCGCATCTGTCAAGCTGGGCTTCTCCCTAACCCCCCCTTCGGTGCGCGCCGCACACG